AAATTTTTCAAACTCAGTATAGACACTATAGATTGATAAAAAACTTTGTTCTATCTTTAATTTTTACTTATAATAATTAAATTATCGTGTTTATGTATTGGTACGAGAATCCGCCGGTGGCGGAGTTGTTAAACACTTGATTCATCATAACGTAGTTAGTCTTGCATACATTTATTGAGTGATATTTGTGCGACAAAACATAATTTGCAACAAATCAGTAAGTAGTTTTGTGTTTTCATGGTTTCATTTTATCTAAATGTACTAAAATAATAATATTTTAACTAAAATATTTAAATATTATATGATAAAGTAGATGACTTGTTTTCATAATCTTATCAAAAGGTTATGACACTCTAAGTAAAATCTAGTTTTGTAAAATCTCTAGTTTTGTAAAATTTTCAAAGTTTTTAGTGATTTGTAATAAATCTATAACTTTTCATGAAATAAAATGCATGAATAATTTTTTTCCTGTTTTATATTGTCGTGTTAATAATAGCGTTTAAGTACTGGGACAAGATAGTTTAAGTATTGGGACAAGTTAGAAAACCTATTTGAGGACTGGGCCATAGCAGGTATGTTAGAATTCGATTAATTTACTTTGTTTTTTTTTTTATAAACCAGTTCTGTAAAGCTTTATTTAGTGAAAATTTAGTCTGGTTTTTTAAATAAATATTAATACTTACCAACAAAATTTAAATTATACGAGTATGATTTGTATATGTTAAACAGCTCTCTTAAACGTTTAAGTATTGGAACATTTACCTTACGTTTCTTTTGCCTCGACGTGTTTTTTCCGCTTTTAATTCGAAACGAATTAATTGACAGATCGACGTTGTTCTGTTTCGATTAGCAAAGCTTCGTCAAACAAGAAACAATTTTCTTCTAGAATGTACAAGAGAATTGAAAGTGTTTAAATCTCTTGAACAATTATATTACGTACGTTATATTTGAGATAATAATTTACGTAGTGTTTTGTCGAATGCTGTACTGCAAAAGTTTTTCTACAAATTGTAGCAGTTTAATAATGTCACTATATATTCGCTCGTTTTTCTTCTTCCACGTACATTGAGTTCGCAAAATCTTCGGCGTGAATCGTATACAGAGGTTTGCTTAACGGCCCGTATAAAGTTTACGAGCGTTGTGGCCGAAACGACGGTAGAAATTTCTTTCGAAGAGATTCATTTCTCTGAGAGATAGAATTTCGTGTCGCCTTAAGGTTCACGTAAAACAATACGATACACACAGTTATCCCGCAATTGAGTTATTCCTGTTGAATTTAATTATCTAACAGCGCTGACGAAACAAATAATTAAAAGAGAAAAGGTTAAAGAAGTCGAGAAAAAAATTTAGCTAAAAATATATTTAGAAATTAAAACTTTATATATACACATACTTTCTAATTAAGTACAATAATATTTTTTATGGAGGAAAAAAATTATTTCTTTAAATATATGTGTATGCATATATATATATATATTTAAGCACATTCTCTGCACAACATCCTGCAAAACGGCTCAAACAACCCGAATTTAATTCATTCATTAGTTTAAAGATTCCCGAGCCTCGAAGAATCTTATTCTTCTTCATTATTAATTTAATATTTTTCCCATTTAAATAAATACAGTTACGGTAGCTTGTTCAATATATCGAAATGAAACACTTTTGTAACGAATTGTAAATTGTTCGAGGAAAGAGAGACCAGTGATCGAAACTAGTCGCAAGAAACCTCAGATGTTATTAACGGATTTCCAAAAAACGATTTCATGAGGCATTCCTATAAAATTGCTCCAGTGGTTGCGGCAATTCTAAAATAAAGGCTACCGGCGGACCGGTAGTTTGCGGGCGCGCTTTAAAGTTCTCATCGAGCGATCGAGGTCTGTGGGACACTTCTGTGTTCCCTTTGTTTGGTGTTTACGCCGCTGCACTGGGACTACAGAAGCGGTAGCGTGCCTGGCGGCGGATCTCGGCGTCGTGGCTGCGATGGTCCTGGCCGACGTGCGGGGTGGGTGACGAGGGAAACAACAAGGGTGAGGTCGTCGGTGCGCCGGGGAGAGAAGCTTTCATTAAGCTTGCATTGTCCCAGCACCGCGCTATTATAGCCGAGTGAATAACTTCGAGCTATCCTCTGGTAGTCATGCCGCTCTGTCCTTCCCTTCCTTTCTCTTTCTATTCCTCTCTCTCTCTTTCTTTCTCTTTTTCCTTTTTCTCTCTTTCCTCTTCTCTGTTTCTCTTTTACTATGTTTATTTATTCTTTTTTATCTTTTTTTCTCTGTCCCACGTTTCTTCTTCATTCTCTTTCCTCCCACTTTCGATATTTTCTACCGCGCGACTTCTACATTTTCGCCCCTGCTCATCACATTTCTCGGCAGCTCGTCTTTCTTTTCGTGCAATTTGACGCGTCTCCAATTTATTTCGCGACCTCGACGATCGTCCCGTTAGCGACGGCGCGATATTAACGATCGAAATGGACGACATAACGATAACGGCAAATCGTTCGAGCGGCGCCGAAGCGGCATCGTGTGCCGTCCGACCAGACACGATGATTCCCACTTCTCATAGAACGACGCGTCGTCGTTGGAGCGGCCTTTTAACGAATACGACTCTCGACGCTCATAAAATCTTGACTATTCCCGTTTGTTTAATTACTCGCTATGACCTCATCGTATCTATAGCTCGTTTCGTTCGACGATTTTGATCTTCTCATTTTTCTGGTTGTTCTTTTCTTAATCCCATTAATTGTATCGCGTTATACTATACATCAGCAGACATACACTGAGAGCAAAAAATAGTTGTAATTACCACAATTTTATTATAATTTATAGTGATTTAAAGTGCCAACTATTTTTTTATAGTTATTTTAACAATGCGACTTATAGTTGATTCAATAATATATTATTGTTGCCATAGCTTTAACATGCATTCATACAACCATATGCATGGTTTCATACACTATAACTTGTGATTTATGTATAGTAAGTTGTACTGTAAATGTGATAATAAGGATCATAATTGAAAGATAAAAACACTATATGCCATAATAAGAAGTACTTACATAATAGTACTTATATAATAGTAAGATTAAACTTTTTATATATAATTTGATCTATATAATGCATATGGTTCCAATAGTTTTGGTGATAAAACTGATAGTTTTAGTTTTAATGATTTTTATTGTTTTTAGGAAAATAGTAAATTGCTATTTCTAAATGTGGTTACTAAAATATACTATTGCTATGATTCTATGCATTGTATGTAAATGATTACTTTTCTGGCCACTTTTTTTATAGTTTCTACGATATCTTTAATACATTCGTAGTTAAAAATATAGTTAACCAGACTATTAATGTAGTCATAAAAATGTATGTTTTAAGTTACTTTTCTTACTTATTTTTTAGTTATTATTACCAGTAAATAGTAAAGCTGATGTCAACAGTATAGTCACATTTACTATAATTGTGATTGTAATTATTACTTAAAAATGTGTATTTTATTTACCATCTGTTATTTGACATTTGACTATGTTACTAGTTAAAAGTATTATAATTTATAGCAAAATTTTTACATACTTGTTAAAACCATGTATATAAGGTTAGTTTTACTAATATTATAGCAATATTAACGATAAAAATAAGAATTCCAACTATAATTATTTTACTATGCAATTATAGTCGTAAATACCAAGCATTTTTCTCTCAGTGTAGAATTGTGAATTTTATTATTTAACATTTTGGTAATGAAGGGAAAAGAACGCTCATGTTATGAGAGAGAGGAAAGAGAGAGAGAGAGAGAAGAGAAAAGAAAAGAAAATATAGAATAACTGCCAGAAATGATGTCAGAAACATGTCGCGATAATTATATTTGAGTTTTCGATGAGCCACTCGATGCGTTTAATTTTATTTGTTCTCAAAGCGCTTTCTTTTTCTTATTAAAACGTACATATATTCTGACACTTGTCTTGCTCGCGTGGTCTTTGTCTTCTGCGTTACATCTATTCGGTGATGATGTGAAGTTATGCCGTTGCGCGCATAATGTCGCTCCAGGCGAAAAGCTGGTTTATATTCGGGAAGTGAACTCCGTACTACGAAAGCAGGTCACAGTAAACTTTCATAGTAGAAATAAGCATTCTACGAGAGAGAGAGAGTTGCGCGGACAACAGATTTATGCAGGAAGTAAAGCAAAAAAATAATTTGTTGTGTTGAAGTCACAAAGTTCCAATTAAAAATTTGCTGAAATATTAAATCAAAACATTGTATAAAGATACTTTTATATAAACTATTTTTTGAGCTCTCTCGAAATAATGAACAAAAGCGATAAGACACGTATAAATATGAAAAATAATCTTTTTCTTTTTTAAATTGCATCTCAGCACGGTTCGGCATTTCTATTCGAAAATTGGCTATTTTTGCGGATATGGAATTCAATCCACAGTGGCTGATATCTCTCCGCGAAGTGGGATCTTCTTCGTACAAAGAATGACTTTCGAATGCGTGGAAACTAGATTACGCTGGTCAATACATTTCTGGGATTACCGCTTGGAGATCTTATTCGAAAATTGCGAACTACCAGAATGGCTGGTGGAGTTTGTCTGCAAAATAAGATTGCAATTCGCAATCACTGCGATCTCTCGAATTGCTTATTAAACTATTGTTACTCTCATTCTGAATTTCATTAAAGAAGTTGATTAAGAAAAAAAAAACCGTGGATTCTATATATTCGCGATAATCGAATAAAACTCACATAAATGTTGTAGAACGAATTTAGCTCTACGCTTTATCTTGCGCAACACTGTCTTTTCGATTTTAGTGCCAGTTGTCATTCTTGCTTCAAAGTAGAATATCGCAGGTGCGATCAAAATACATAGTGTCTGTAATAATCAAATTTGCTTTGATGTAATATCCGCGTATCCGTTTTTAGTGCTTTCGTGAGATCGTACAGACGTGCCGAAGCCCGGGCGCATTGACGTTGCGGTATTGACACTAATTGCTTAATATCTGTTTCAGATACTCCGTCGTTCGCGATAACGCGTTTACCTGGTTTTGGAATTCCAATTGTCGAGGGGATGTCCGTCAGCTTGAAATGCGAAGTGGACAGCAATCCGGCCAGTGCTCCAATTTGGCAACGCGGTAAGTGGCAAGCTAAAAAAAAAAAAAGAAAAAAACAAATACGAGAATTTGATATCTTGTCTAATTCGATTGAGTGGAGATTTATGTCGGACAGAGCGACGGCTCTTTGAGGTCTTAATTTTTGAATTATCAATTTTTGCGAAATTATGCACATTATACATAGAATAAAGCGCCGAGAAAATATCTCGTTGATATCCTAATTTTCATCACACTATACCGCCACTCATTTCCCCGACAGATTTTCGTGAATTTAAAGCTGGTAATCACATTACATGTATCACGTTATTTCTCTTGCATTTAAAGTCCGCTATTTGAATGGCGTGGCGATTAACTCTTCTCGGCAGTAACGTTATCCGTATTTTACACGGCCGGTAATTTTTGGCAATTTAAATACGTCCGTGTTAAATACGGTAATGAGACTTTTAATGAGTTACTGTCGTTGCAAATAACCTTTTCGACCAGTATTTTTAAAGTGGATTGTAACTCATTAATTTACATTGCTTCTGCAAATATTTTTTATCTCTTTAAACAACTTTGCTGAATTTTAATTTCAAATATTTCTTGTTTGTAAAAAAAAACTATAACGACGATTAATAATTTCTATAATTAATGATGCAAAAATTTAATCCCTTTCACAAATCAAACGTCGAATAAACAAATTCGATTTTCAAATAATTAAAAAAGTTTTACAATTTTTGTGTTATATTTTTTTAACGTTAACCGGAAACATAGCATTATATATTTTGTGTGACGAGAAATTCAAACGACAAAGAGAGCTCTGTAAATATCACCATCTTGTTAATTCGTACGTGTGTGGAAAAGTTTACTTCGAACTTGATAGAATTGCAGTATAGTTGTGTATATACAATCGGCGTTCACATCAATTGACTGTACGGTTTCAAGTTTTAGCGGGCAGATGACAATTATCAAACGTTGCGTCAATTTCGATTTTGCATCTCTTCATTAGTTTCATGAACTATCGATGCTATATCGAGTATGTTCTGAAAGTTCGTTGTAAATAATGTTACCGTTTCAAAACGAATAACCTCTTTGCAGAAACTCGGAAATTTTATCTCTATTTTTAACAGACCTGCGAAAATATAATTGAATTGCGCACAACTTTTCAAAATAGTACGTATATCGAAATTATTACTATTCCTTTTGTAAACGTTGTTTGTGAAGTAAGTTAAATTAAAATGTAAATTTAAATCGGTATTTTTCTTACGAGTTTAATTTAAAATTCTTTTGAAAATTCAACGCAATTGATGTTATTTCAATCTTGACACAACGATTATTTCGTTTCTTCAATTCAAATTTCTACCACGTTTATGTGATATAGGAAAGGAAATCAGAAAACGGATACTTGTGACGCGTGATCTTTGCTACATGCATATGCAGGACGTTGTTGTAGAGGCATGCAGCGAGTTGAGAGACACACGTGCATTATTTCGCGTGCAACTCCCCGTTTCCTGCAACTAGGAAACGCGTCACGTTGTAGACACGTTAGCGCGGGCACGTGTAACGGCAACGTGAGCATAATTTAATCACTGTAAACAGGCACTTGGACGGGATAGAATCTGATGCACATGACCCATCCCGGCGTAATATAACGGCTTCGTAATAACACCAAAGGAGATGTAACTTATCTGCAAACGCGTGCATCGATGCATTAACGAGCGCGACACGCCTGTAATCGAATTATCGCCGTTTTACCACAACAACCTCTTATCACAACATACTTGAATTACATAATTGCGGCTCGTACGCTCGTACAATATATACATTGAAAAGAAAGAGACGGAAAAAATAAAATTTTATAACAGTTAAATTCTATTGAAGCTCGATAAGTTACTAAACTAAGAAATATATTTACGGTCATCCGAGCCGATCGCAGGATGTTGTGCGGAAAACTGCGTAGGGGTAAGAGATACAGTGATTGGCCACTTAAGAAAAACTGCACTATATATAGAGTGAATTATAAAATTAAATTTAATAACTTGAAGTAAATCTTCAGTATTACTAGCTCAAACAAACTATAACAATTGCAAATAAAATAATAAATTTATTAGAAAATTTGAAAAAGTATTCAAAATTTGATAAAACATTTCCTATAGTCAAAATAGACAGTTATTGGCCATATGAGTTCTGTTAGTATCTGTTTACATAAAAGTTAACATAATAAATTTTTTGTTTTGACTTATGAAGATGTAGTAATGAATATTTTATTTATAACACATTGAAAACTAATAAACCTACTTACGTTTGTATCTATAACTCAAAATAAGAGACCAATGACTGTCACATGGTTTTCATAATCTTAAAAACAGTGATTGGCCGGTTGGCCAATGTTTGTCGTGTAACAATAAGTTTTTGAGCTTTTTAAATACTATAATATTACTTTTATTCGGAGAAAAAGAACTTAATTAATATTAAAATGTTTATAATTCAGAATATGATAGTATTTATTTATATTTATTACTTTTAATACATGGCCAATTACTGTTGGGAGGCCAGTAACTGTACTGTTTACCCCTATATATATATACATATATACATATATATATTTGTTCGCGTGTAAATTTTTACGCGCGAGTTTTTTGAATTGAATATCAATTCTTAAATTTATATTGGATGCTGGATTTGCATCACATATATGAGAGATCCCATCTACCCCCCTAACTAATTTTTGAAAATATTGCGAAAAAATACTCCTCAGCCAAAAAGTCGAACCTGTTATTAAATTATAAAATTTTATAATTGTAGAAATAATATTATTCGAGACGAGATTTCTATTACATATACACGCGTGAGAAATTCGCGCTTTTCCACGGCATGTAAAATGAATGTGTAAATGAACACCGCATCGCAATATCGAAGGATTAATTGTGTAAATAATAGAGAAGACGCGTTGTGGTAATTATACACGCGAATTACCAGTTATTTATGTAATATAATATCATAATTAACGCAAACCGCAATAATGTTCCGTCGTAATAATTTCATAGCCAAAATTCCTAGTAAGCCTCAAAATGGGTAATGAACACTATGATGACACAAACATCCCTGCTAGAATCACACGCTGCGAATTTGCGTCATCTCTCTCGAGCGGTCATTACACCGCGTAATTAAGTCAACATTAAACGATGTACGTATAAGTTTCTGAAACACATCTGTTTGAATAATAGACGTCGTCTTTAATAGAAAGAGGCGGATCTTCGCGGCATTCACGCGATTTCTGTCGACCTAGTCGTTCCAAAACGTCTCATCTTCGAAGATCTCGGGGTTGAGAATCGGGTGGGGGGGGGAGGGACGGAAAAGGTGGGGTACATCTCGTAATCACGTTATTACGTACCGCGCGACACTGTCTGCCACTTCGACACCGCTGGGAAATCGGGACAATGGACATTTCCCTCGTGCATCCTCTCGCTGGTCCCTTTCATCCCAGGTTCTCGCCCGGCCTTTCATTCCGATAGACAGGTGTACGCGCTCGATATTCCCGTCCCGATGAGCTCTAACTACGGTTCGGCCTATTTCCGCATTGTAAATTTTGTGTCGGCATTAAAGGGGATTCGCACGCCGCGTTATGTGCCAAGCAACAACGAGGAGGCTGTTACGCGGTACACGCGTGATACTACAGAGCGCCGGGTTGTCCCATCTAATCTGCTCTATTGGCCGACATCCGTTAGAGAGAAAGAGATAAGGTAGAGCGCGAGCGATTATGCGATATCAGATGCGACGTGACTGCGCGATATTTCGCGGAATGAGAACACGGAAGCTGCACAGCTGTTGATTAACTGCTACAATGACCGACAAATTCGCTAGCGTTACATTGATACATATATAGCGGTAAAACGTTAAATATTTCTGCACCTAAATAATCTGGCAGAGAGACAAAATAGATAACAATAAGCAGTTAAATATATTTTTCTACATTTAAAAATATTAAAATTTATTTTTTTATCTATATGTTATTTTATATGTTGTAGCAAAAAAAATATATATAAATAATTTGTATAATAGAAAAATAAATTTTTTATTACAAAATTGTTATATACAATAACAATTTCATTATTCACGTTATTTTATCGATCATAAAATTCTTTTTCAAATTTGAAGAATTAATTTTATATGTGAAAGATTTACTAATTTATTGATAAGAGCTAATAATGATATAACGCTAATACGTGAATATACAGATCAGCAATAACGTTGTTATAATTGTTATATTTATGTATACATATACATTTATGTATACATGTACGTGTGTGTGCGCGGGTAATGAATAGTATATGTATATATGTTGTAGCAAAAAATATATATAAATAATTTGTATAATAGAAAAATGAATTTTATTACAAAATTGTTATATACAATAACAATTTCATTATTCACGTTATTTTATAAATCATAAAATTCTTTTTTAAATTTGAAGAATTAATTTTATATGTGAAAGATTTACTTAATTTATTGATAAGAGCTAATAATGATACAACGCTAATACGTGAGAATATGCAGATCAGCAATAACGAAGTGGCATGTCAACAGTCGCAAGTATGATTAAAATATAGATTAAATCTGAGATTATCGCGATTTGCAGTATCGAGAATTGCATTATAGTCAATTTGTATATTCAAATCTGCAAAAAAGCGATATAGATTCATTACCATTTGCTCATTCTCTTTGTCGTAGAAGAGCTTGCCGACCGCTTCCTCGCGGTCTGATAAATATTTAAAACTGTCTATAATTCCTACCTTTCTGGAAAGAGCAGTTCCCTGCTTGAGCTTTTAATCCCATGGTTATTTCATGCTTCAAGCTCAATCTGTCTTATCTTAATCTACCGGTCAACGTACGTATCGGTCAAAATGAGCGATAGAAATCTGCTTAACAAGTTAACTACAATTACCGCGATAAACAAAAGAAACAAAATTGCGAACAAAAACACTGATTGACATCGTATCTGAAAAATGTGCTCGAAACTGTTTGTTTTTCTTGTTCTTTTG